GGAAAAAAGTGACTCTCTATAAAAATATTCCAGTAAAAGCAACAGGAACTAGGAGTATCCATTTCAGAACTCTGCCATAAATCCCATACTGAAATACTTAAACGCCTTCGGATTTTGCTGTAGACTTCAAGTCATCTAAGAGTTCTTAGTTTATTTTTTTAAACAGAAATGAAGTTAACCGATTGGAGTGGGAAGGTGGCTGTTCTTTTAGATTACTTACGGAAGAAGATACCAGTTTCTCATTCATGGTACAAGGTTTTAGTTAAAACAAAATTATTTACTCTCTTTAAAGTATTAATACAATATATAATGCTGCAATGTGGAGTGTATCTAACAGTTTTGTTTTTACTAATTTCATTTATGCTGTGTTTCGCTAGCCTTTGTTTTACAGAGCCAAAGTATGTAAGGACGGGAGAAGCCTTATGTTTTTCTGTAGAGTTTGATTTACCTTTGGTATATTTGGTGCTTCCAATTCTGTAGACGATGCTTTGGACTGAGGTTAAACAAAATAAATGAGCAATACAGCAGGTGTACGGAATGGTGAGAATACTTAATGGTGATCAAAATAATGCATCCTTTTTTCTTTCAAAGCAGTTTTGGTTTTTTTCCGTGTAAAAAAGGTCATGTTTCTCAAGTTTCTTTATAGTGTACCAGTCATCCTGTTTCTTAGTTACCCGAGACCAGTGATGCCAGTGTGGAAATGCACTGTCCTTTAGATATCTGCTTCCTTTCCAAACCTTCCTTCCAAACTTAACTTGCAGATGGAGTCCATCCAATAGCTACCTGAATTTCAGAATTCTTTTACTATTATTCCAAGTTTTTTGAATGTTGTTACTCAATCAGTTTGTAATTATGCCAGTCTAATTTAATAAGTTTAATAACAATAGAATACAAATTATAAGTCCTAATTGACTGGAAGAGCTAGCTTGAAATACTGTAAGTTATGCCCATTACTAGTTACAGTGAAAGGAATTTTAAAACATAACTACTGTCTCGAGCATAATCCTGGACAGTATTAATGCATTCCTTTCCATTTGCCTTAATTGGTTGTTGATATTAATTCTTTTATTGGGGAAAGAAAAGAAAAAGGAAAAAAAAAAAGGAAGATTTGTGGTTGGTCTGTTGGCTGCCGGACAGCCTGGCATTTTGCCCCTAGAACATAACAGCCACAACAATTTGTTTTCCTTCCTGAGCTAGTAGGAGCTGATCTGTGACTTCAAAGTGGATGTGAAATGTGGACAAAACAGTGTGCTTTGAAGGCAAAACACTTCCAGTACAAATCAATTACAATGCAAAAATATTGATGATGTCCATATAGCAATGTAAAATGTAATAATTTCTGGAGTTCTTGAGCGTGGTCACCAATGCCAGTTGTAAGAATGAAGAAGTTTTGTTTCAGTGGCAGGACTGCCGCAGTCTATGACATAATAGTTGATACTATTTGAATGGTGACTGAATTAATTCACTGTTAATATGTTTTGTAAACCTGCAACCATATTTTTTTTTTTAATTGACATATGTTTCTTCTTCTTGTTAATTAAGCAAATGATGGCACTTACTTTCCTCTTTTACTCCATTGGGTGATGTGTATTTTGTACCTGTGTTCAGGCTTTGATCAGATTGTTTCCTCTCCCAAAGAGTCTTTTATTTTACCTTCTTTTTATTTTATCTTCTTTATTAATATAGTATTATAAATTAATGCAAGGCAAATAATTTGCTTTCCCTCTTTTTTTTTTTTTTGACATTGCAGTGATTAAATAAGCAGTACTACTTCATTTTATCCTTGTTTTGCAAGAATGGTAATCAAAGTTCTTTTCTCCCAATTTTTAAGGGTTATAATCTTCATTTGAATTGTGAAGAGCCTAAAGGAATCTCTTTCAGTTTAATTGTCTTCTTGAAGTACAGGTCAACTTACAGTGCATTTTGCAAAATTGGTTGTATGTAGACTCTGCCAATGTCAAAGACTGTTAAAATAGAGCAGCTAGAATCAGAAACTTTGCTTACAGTTTTGCTTCGAGGTGCTTTAGCTGTATTCATGATGTAAGGAAAATTCAGAAAATATTCATGGCTTGAGAATAACACTGCCAGCTAAATTGAAGAAAGTAGTATAATAATGTCTTGTGCCTGTGAGAGAGAGAACATTGCTTTTCAACTGTTACTACATTGTATTTTTCTCTGGAGCTCATATGGATGTAAGAGATGATTTTTCTAATGTGAGGGGAGAACATCAAAAGTTCCTTCTCACATATGAGAAATAATAGTATGATGATTCTAGCAAAGTTTTGGCTTTTCTCTACCTCATTTTACATTTTGAAGAAAGGGTTTCCTGATGAACAAACAAATGTTAGCCTGATAGCATTTTCCTGTATTTGAATTGTGAACAGTCAAATGACTCAAAAAAAAAATTATGTTATAGTAGATACAGGGTTTTAACATAGCATATGTGCATACAATAAATCTATTCAATTAATCAGTCTGCTTCCTTTCTCTCCACCCCCTTGCAGCTGGAAGTTCATCAGCTTCTGCTACTATATCTAGCTTCCTCTTGAGACTTTCTGGAATAGAGTTAACAGTGGTGGCAGGCATTAATGAACAATGTCGTGATTATATTCTGCGGGTCTGTATAAGTTGTCATTTTCCATTGCTACTAATTCTTATGGAAACTATGTCATCTGTTTAGCATGAGCACATTATACGTGCCGTACAAAGTTGCATGCTGCAGTATTTAGTGAAAACATGTACATCATCATTAAATCAGTAGAAAATAATTTTCAGTTTCATTAGCGACCGATCTGGCATTTAAAATGGAAAATTTATGGTAAGATTTTATTTTCAGAAGCTCTTAGCTAGGATAATGCAGGATAGTTAGACTTCCATTGATAGTTAGTTTGTAATTAATTATGTGTTGAGGTTCTTTGGCATATGATAAGACCTTTTTTAAGGTACAACTGTGGAAGAATTCAGGAAAAAGAAAAAACTAGATGCTTCCATTTGTTTTAGCAGTTGGAAACCTTCACGATAAAATACTTGCAGTCAGATCTAATGGAATCTAACAGCCTGATTAAAAACTTGTGTAACGGTGATTTTTGTTGACTTTTTTTCTTTAAAAGATCAAAATGTAATCTTTCAGGACTAGCTTCTGGCCATTTAGAGATGCTGGCAGCTTCACTAGGGCATGGCACTCAGGTGTTCTGGTCGAGCTTCAAGTATTCCAACAAAGTTTTAAGGTCCAATTCATTAAGACATTAAAGAGATGGTGGGACACGTGCTGTATTGAAGAATCTCTTAGAACTTGTTTTTGTATAATTTTGAAGTGGACTGTAGACTGCTGCCTGTCTAGATGTATGCTGTCAGGATTAGACGATTGTTGGTGAGAAAAATCATTGCTTAATAGTGCCACCACTTTTATCACCAACCATTTTTCTCAGTGATTGAGAACTACTTAAAACAATAAAGTGTTTATCTGTGAATGATGTTCTCCAGGTGTTTTGTAGTCACTGCTGTATTGTCCGCGTTCGTGAAATACGGAAGAATCTCTAAACTGCATTAACAAGTCTTCTCTTTAACTTTTTGTGCAGGCTGTTTCGGCAGAGTTGTAGACACTGTTGCTACAGACTGCCTAACAGAAGTTACAACCTGGTATTTCTGATTGCCCTAAGGCAAATTTAGGATGGTTGCAAGTATGTTAATATGAGTCAGAATTTTTTCAGCCTTATACAAAGTTTCTTTGTATAGTGAAAGCTCATACCAGGTAGAGCACTGCCCTGAAGAAGAGACTAACTCCTTGGGAACGTGCTTAGTAGAGCCTGCATATAACTACATTGTCTATGAACCTGGTATCTGCAGGTGAAAAAATAATGATTTGCTATAGGTTTTACTCATTTAGGAAGTGATATCTTTTATTGTTACCTTTTGTGTCATGTTGAGGGGTGGTAGAACTAAAGCATTTGGTCCCACTCAATTGTTTCCCAGTCCACAAAAATGTTTCCTATTTGAGCATGGCAGGATGGAGTGGAAATCTGAGAAAGAATGTTTATTAATAGGAGCAGCACGAGCTGGTGGATTTAAAAAGAGGTTGAGGGTTGAATGCCAGTTAGTTGCTTAAAGTTTTTAAATCTCTATTCATTTCAGGGATAATGCTCAATTTTATATGGTTTAAGTCAGAGACAGCGAGAGTAATAAAACTAAATTGCTTAGATCTTTGAAGTTGTAGGGATATGGGTTTTTTCTTGTTTTTAGCTGAGAAAATTATTATTTGAAAATAAAGTACAAAAGATTATATGTGCAGATTATTTTTCACTGATCTCTGGAAGGAATGCAGTGATTTTGCCAGCATCGGGCAGAAAAAACAGCTTAGAAAGGGCAATGTAATATTTTAGCAGATCTGGCTGAAACTGTTAGGGAAAGTTGAAAGAGGAAGAATGTATTTATTCAAATGAGTTTTTGATCAGAATGCCAGAAGGTCTGCTTGGAGTATGAAAAATCTTTCTTTTTGTAACATAGAACTTATGTCTGCACTTACAAGGATTCAAGTGTATGCAGAATGTGCTCTATTTTGGAAGTACGGTGAGCCAGATTTGCTGTGAACTGCCGATGGTCTTTTGCCAAGCAAAGAATGGGAGACCAGGGGTTTGACCTTCCAGTAAGTGGATCCATCCAGCAAACTTCTTATCAGTGGACCAGATAAAAAGCTCTTTTATATCTGGATTAGTGACCTGTCAAGCTAATTGTTTCATGGTGCGATGGCAACCAACACTTCACAAAAGCTAAATATACCCTTTCCTAAGGAATCTGAAAATACTTTACAATCTTAAACTAAGCCTTACTACTCCTTCACTAACAAATCTTTGAATAAATGTGACCTCCCTTAGTGCCCTCTCAGGCTCCAGGGCACGTGGCCAATGGGCCTGTTGATGTAATAGCAAGAAGCTGGAGCAATTCAAGCCTGAGATGGCCGAGAAGTAAAATACTCTATTACCTACAGTGCATTTCTCTCCAAGTTCTGCAGCTCAACGGTTTCCATGGCAGGGATCAGGGTTACTTCTTTGATGGAGACTGCAGGGACTTTGAAGGCTTTCACAGCATCGGGCATCACATTGTGTACAACGTTGTGTATCCTGGAATTCGTCTTGTTCTGGGGGAAGGTAAATGCTGCCTGAGCAGTTATTTGGTAGGTGAGCAGTCCTATATGGCACACTGTGGCTGCCTTTTGGACACGTTCTTCATGGAACGAAGATTGCTTTCAAATCCGGCAGTTGCTCCACATCTTTCAGTGTGCAACTGATCTTGGAAAATGAATAAATAGGAAGCTTCTGCAATAAATTTTGTTTCTGAAATCTAACTCCAGAACTGTGTCAGGCAGTGGTGAGGGAAGGGGAAAGATGAACTTTGCCTTGCTTTTTCTGAAAATTGGATTTGTGTGCTTTAGAAACAGCCACCAATCCTAAGTAATGGGCTAATGCTCTCATTAATGAGTGAAGTACAGTGAGCAGCTCCCTTATTGCCGAGAGTAAATGTTACTGGAAATTTGTGACAGACTGTCTGAGCTCCACGTGTTTTGCTGGGAACACGATAGGTCTGATGAGCTGTGCCTGAATCTTGGGCTGGATTTGAAGGTATTGCTGGCGGCCAGCCGCAGGGGCTGGGCTCTGGGACCCCCCTGCAGCTGCTCGGCGACATTCCTCTCAATTTTCCATGCTGCTACTTGAAATGGATCTGACAGGAATGTCTGCTACTACTCTGGTGTGTTTGCTTTTTGAGTCTTTTTTCCAGGGTCTATCCTAGGAAAAAATGTAGGTGCATGCCAGCCAACCATTTCCCCAGTAACTGGGGGTGCTGTGGGAAACACAGCTGTTTTCTAAGGGCAAAGCTGAAACACATTGCTATAATTTTGTTTTTTCCTTCTCATAACATTTCAAAAGCTGAAGGGATCAGTGTGTTCTTGTTTGCCTCTTCCTCACCCAAGAGATGATGAAATGATCTCTGCTTTCAGGAAGAGTTGTCCCATCCTTGGTCCAAGATGCTTGGATCCTGGAGCTGAAAGCCGTCTAGATTGGCAGTAGGACATCTGTGGTTAGTCCAGTTGTTCACAGACACTACTGGGAGTTATGTGCCAGCATGAGATGGAGTATCCCTGCTTTCCTTTTCATCCACACATACTCCTTGGGATTGTTGGGAGAGGGAGAGTTGTGTCCTGGTTGATAAGGAAAAGGAGTCGACAGAGGGGAATTTGCCCTCCTGTCAGTAGTTTAAATTTTGTCTCTCACTCTGCAGAGTTGCTAGGAATCATCCCGACCCTCTGCAGTGAACACAGAGCCAAATCCTGGTCAGTGGCAGCAGTAGTTCAAGCAATCCAGCTTCCCCATCTGTATGGGCTTCCACTTGTTCAACCTGCTTTCTGTCAGCTGATCACTCTCCCATGTTGGTCAGTTGAAGAGTACATACAGGGTCACTTTTGTTCCCTTAGAGTAGAGCGCCTTTGGTGATGGTTGATGGACTGGAGGTAGTCCAGTGCTAACCATTTTCCATTTTACATGAAAAGGGAATATAGTATAACTTGCAAAGGTGGGTATTCTTTGCCAATTTTCTGATCTGGATTTGAACTAGACAATGTCTTCCTATTATATAACAATGTCAGTCTGCTGAAGACTTGGTGGAAATCCATTAAAGCTTGCTTACCTGAAGTTTTGTCATCTTGCAGTTGTTTAAACTGTCAGCATTGCCTGTATGCTTGGCTCAATCAGAAATGAACAGCACCGTTGTAGAAATTAGTCATGGGACCATCCAGTCCCTTTCCATCCCATTCTTTGGGTAATTCTGTGTAGTAATACATTACACTTCTAGTGGGCAAAATCATAAATGCCTCAAGTTAAAAGGTATGTGCTGCTTCTATTCTATGGCTTAAAAGATCTTACTCTTGGAAGGCTGTTCCATCTGCGCTTTTTAATTTCAGAATTTTCTCTTCCTGCTGCAGGCGAGCAAAATCACTGCTCTTTTGTTGCCCTTTCTTTGCACTGGAATGAATGAAGGGTTTCAATTAAATACATGATATCTTTAATGTGTCACTTAGCTATGCTGTGCATACTTGGCATGGTGATCTGTTCCTTTCACCCTCTAGATAATGCTGAGGGGAAACCTTGCTTTCCTTCCCAAGACTCCCACTTAAAAAGTGGCTGTTGGTTCTGCATTGCAAGTGGATATATTATTTGCCATCAGCTGTTACCCGTGGTCTCTCCTGGCATTATTGCTGGATCATTCTCTCACTCTGGGATCCTAAAATTTCTTGTCACCTAGATCTTGCCATGAAAATGAGAAAAAAAAAAATTCAGAATTTGCAGGCTTTTACTCTATAAAGAATAAATTTTGTGTTTATGCTTACTGTAATATACTATAAGGAAAGGCTTTCAGATGCAAACATCAGAGAAAATTTATTTGATTTTTAGCTGTAGCATCAAGTAACCTACCTACTTGTTTCACCAGTTTTGCATGCATGAGTGCTCCGTAGGGAGAAAATTACTACTGAGCTCTCCCAAAATTATTTATCTGTGAGACTCTGCCTTGCAGCATACATGGGGGGGGGGCAGAAAATTTGATTCTGTTTGACAGTGTTTTGTTGATCTGATGATATAGTGTGAAGAAAAGGCTTGAGGCCTCCTATTTTTGGAAGGGTAATATCTGTATATATACTGGTGGTGTTACTGCACAAAGCTGAGTCTGATCACCCCTCCCCATTATTTGCTGTAGGGAA